CCCTTCCCCCTGTAAAAAAAGAAAAAAAAAAGCTAAAAAAATATTTCCTCTGTTATGTGGCTAGTTCCATATGCAACACATATAGTGAGCTCATCCAAGAATGATGTTTAAAAATGACCCATATTCTGAGAGTTAAGTAGATCAGTTTCTTCAGTGCTGCACTGACAAACACGGGCTGATTAAATTCCCTTAGTGGAGACAAGTCCCACTTTGACCTCTTCCAAAGGGACTGCTTAATGAATGAAGACTGATTCTGTTTGAATAAAGTGATCTGCCTCTGTTGACAGTGTAAATAATAAGCAGGTTCTGGTTTTAATCATATTGAGTAGCATTTAATTCCAAAATTATTTCAACTATTTCAGTTGACACATGTAACGATTTATTTCATACTACTCTGATTATTTTAATACATCCCAGTATTCTAATTCCTTTTGAAAAACAAAACAAAACAAAAAACCCCAACACATAGATGATGCACTAATCAAAATTTGGGACTAAAGAAATTCAATTCAATCAGTTTCTATCACCTTTGGTGTCACCAATTGTTCTGCAGCGTATCTCAGGCCACCTGTGCAGTAATCATTTATGTTAAGGATATTGTAAAATAACCCGTAAGAAACAGTTTCACTGTCTCTAATGCTGGATCAAAAAGAGCCTTTTAATGTAGAGTCTTAAATGTTATTAAGGTAGGGGCAGATCTAAGATTCTTCATTTGAATAATTAAACTGATTTTGTATTTATAAAAGCATTTCTAGGAAATAGTGACTTGATGGCATGATTGTTACTCAGATCAGCCCTATTGTTAGGATTAAAATGCATGTGAATGTGTTCCTTTTGTTCAGATGTTTTAGCATTCAAGGAGAAAATTTGTTGCATAATGAACAGCAGTTTTAATTATTGTCTTATCATCACCATTGTCTCATTCTTTAGTAAGATTCTGATGTCATGATTTTCAACTTTTGATGGCATACATGACTCCTAGCTTGAGAATTTTTTTAACATTTTGATATGAAGATAGGTTTTAGTTAGAGAAACACTTCTTAACTGGGTCTAATTAAGGATATATGGTATTCATGGCAATTGAAGCTGGAAATCAATTTGTCTAAAATTTTCAGAAAAACTGGTGAGCAGAGAATCCAGATTTTGGGGGGCTTTTGTTTAAACTGAGTTTAAATTGTGGCTTTCAGGTCTGAGTTTGAGTCTGGTTATTGAAGCTTACAGCTTCATAAAAATACTTTATTTTTCAGTATAGGATTTTTTTTTTAGTGTGCAGAAATAGAGCTAACTAAGATGATTGAAGCAGAAGTTGTCATATCCCATAGAAAGATTCTTTTTCATGTTACTTCAACCATTATTATTATATTCTGTATATAGGAAGGAGATGTGCCATACCTAACCACAGCTTCTTACTAGTTGCATTGCAAAAGCGGTGTAGAGCAGTCCCTTTTCTTTATGATAATGAAGTTAGACAACAAAATTACTTAACCTTGTAACTCTGAACAAAAAGAGTCTACCATACCTGCCAAACTATATTTGTAAGTGGGCTAATTGACTCAAACCCAGCATAATTCTAGAAAGTGAAGATGGCAGCTACTGAAGATACTCAATAGTGTATTATAGGAAATGGATTTTATTCATAGTATCAATGTATTAACTTCCAAATAGTTTTAGAAAGCTCTTCAGTAAAATCCAGACATGCTAATAACATTATCCTGTTGAAAGTGAATGGAAGCTTTGCCAGCCTAGTGTTTAAAGCTGTCACCAAGAATCTTATTTATTTGAAAAATATTTATATTGTCTTAATAGAAATTGAAACTATTAATTCAAAATTTACTATTCAATAAACATGCATTTTATGTTGCATGAATATTGTATGCCTTCTTAGTTTTAGGTCAGGCTTTTAAAAGTAAAATCAATTTCTTTCCTCAACTCTATTCATCATGAAAAAATATAAATTCTGTCTTTTATGAAGCTGTCATAGTTCCTGAGAAATATTAGACCCTGGGGCCCACTACTCCATTTAAAACATTCTTCATGTTCATGTCATCTTTTTTTTGCATTCCTTTTGCTTGTTTGATGACTTTTATTCTTCCCCCTCTCATTTAGGGAAATTCAATATTATGTCCCTATTCTGTCCCTTTTAAAGACAACTTAATAGAAGACACTAAAAAGGAGGGATTTAGTATTTTCATTTTTAAAGGGAATATAGCTGGGTTCATCATATTGTCTAAAGTCTTGGTTTTCCTCTTTTGTATTTTTTGTTTTCTTGCATATTCTCTGAAAGATGTAGGGCATCCAGATTAATTGAAAAAGAACCAAAGCTATGTAAGACCTCATTCTCAAAAAAATGTTTACATCCTTAAAGAAGCAGGTAAATACATGATGCGATTTGTAAAAATGCATAGAGGCACTTAATTTTAGGTATTCAGCTAGGCTTGCATCTAGCAGTCTTCAAATTCTGAAATGCCTGAAGTTATGCTGTTTGGGGCTCTAATACATGCTCCTTTTTGGTTGTTTCTTGGTTTTTTTTGTTTTTGTTTTTTTTTTCTTTTTAAATCCACTCTTTTCCCGGCTTATTCTCCCAGAATTGTTCTTGTATCCAGGCTTACCATGACTAGATCCTTCTTTAAGAGGTCTAAGTGCAGTCAGTGGTAACTACACAGCAGCAGAACGGGTAGCAGAGTTGTGTTCTCAAGGGTACATATAGGGAAACAACAAGTCTCCGTGTAGGCAGTTTCTCAAGATGCTCTGACTGATGAAGTAAGTAATGTAGTTCAGAATATAAGAGTTCATCACTCTGATGATTTGGAGCCTGGGGTGTTGTTTGTTTTCCTTTTTTTTGTACCAAACTTTTTTTTTTTAGGTTCATACCAACTGCAGGTGGGATTTGTGTCACCAAACTCTAGTTATCTTAAAGTTAAGTGCCCATTTTCAGCTAATTGTCTAGACACTCTCTATTGTCAGTGAAGAAATCGAGGCACTTCAAGAGCATGATTCATCCCATCCTAAAATAGATATCTAAGTTGGGATGAATTGGAAGTAGCTATCTTTCTCCACCAAATAGCAGGCGAGCGCTGACAACTGGTTAGGCAAAAAGATAGGTGAGATGGTCCCCCTCTGAGCTATTGATATATCTCTTATCCCTCCCTGTTGCTTCACTGGTTTGGGAGATGAGTGACACTTTTCAGTATTTGCCAAATAGGGCAAACATGTTGAACAGTTGTTAGTATCAAATCCATCAGGTTCAGGAGTACTTAGAGAAGATGATGTATACAGTTCTGCTGAATCCGTGCAGAGACTGTGCTTTGTTTTGGTTGTCAAATGGTAGCTTAAAGAGCAAAAGCTGATGATCAGTAAAGCATTGTATGTATTTCAGGTTGGGATCAGCCTAGAAATCAGCATCCACCCACAGTGAAGACTCCACTTGGTTACTCCTTTGTACAAACAACATCAGTGGTACTTCAGAGCTATCCTGTCACTTGCTCATTTCTTTTCTGAAAAGTAAATATTCTAGCTGGAAAACAAGCCCATAATGAGTGTATAATATATCTCAACAATAACTTGAATGAACAGCATTTCACACTGGCAGAAATATTAGACAAGTTTAATACCAACTGAATGGTTTTCTCAATAACTTTCAGAACAAATATCCATTAGAACATCAGTGAAGGCTGAAACTTTTTCTCAACAAAGAGAGTAATCAGTAACACTTTTACAGCAAAAATTCTGTGCAGTAATTTTTATTCCCTTGTATTATTTGTGAAATGAAAGGAATATGCCATTTAACATTAAATTTAGAAAAAATGTTTATATTTTGAGGCATTTTTAATAACAGAAACAAATAAACCAAAGGCAATTATTAAGATTTCATTTGTGTCTCCAGAACTAAGCTTCTGCTAAATGTTTTTCATAACTGGACAATCATATTTTTCAGATGATAGTGAACACTTCACTGAGAAAATGATGGACAAAACAACCATTGCTGTGACAGAGGATGTCACCTCTATGCAAGTTTGCTTAACAGTTGAAAGGAACAAGCATGTTTATTAAGCCTGCACTGATACTGGGCTGAGGTAGGAAAAAAATAACACTAGTTTCCATTAAGGTCTGCCCATCTCTAAACTAGTTTTCTTGGATTTTGGTAGCAATATAAGTATGCTGGCAGGCAAATTTACCCTGTTTCTATGATAACTTTGATGCCTGAATTGCTCATTTTTTTTGTCTCTTCCCTTTGTTACTCTAGTTCAGGGAATGGAATACCCAAGGACAGGTGTTTCTGCTAGCTTGTTAACTGAGTTTTCTTTAATTCATATGCAAAAGCAGTTATGCTCATATGTTTATATTTTACTGATACCGTCTTAAAGTAAGAACTGTAAATTCTTAAAATCCCATGCTCTGTATGTAAGGAAATCCGTGCTGCAAGACCAATTCTACTTGCTTAATGCATGTTAAGATGGAAAGAGACCAGTTAGTTAACTGGTGTAATCACATGCGCAATGCAGCCATCTTGTCTCATCTAGCTGTTCCTTCAGTTGTGCAAAACAAGACACTGTAGATGTTTCAAAATCAGAGGATTCTTCTATTTTACTTTCATTAGGGCCTAATTTCTGTTAGCATTCTGATATTTTTGGCCTTAATTAAGATAATTTCTCTCCCTTACCAAACTGTGACTATAAAGACATACACATCATGGTTATCTTTTTCATCCTTTTAATAATAAAAAAAACCTGTGGCAATTACTTTTCCATTTATTATTGTGTTATATATGTTTATTTTTTACAAAGGAATTCGACAAGCAGATTTCTGGAGTTCTTAATGGAGTTGAAACAGTAGCCTATGCATGTCATTGTACATGCATAGTGAAATGATGAACATAAATCACATCCACAGACACACAGAAAACAAGGCACTGTTAAGACTGTACAAGTAATAAATGACCAAAAGGTTATTGATACATTAAAAACTGAGCTCCTAACTGTATCAGTAGTCATTTTAACACCCTAAAGCTGTGCATTGTTTTGCAGTTCTCTTCTTAAAAGCCCAGCTGTGTCCCTCTTTCCATATGTATTGGACCCCACATTTGTAGGTGAATAAATTGCTCCAATGTTGTTGCTGGAACGAACCAAAAAGTCAGCCAAGCGTTGTGTCACACATGTAGCGGTGTTGCATTTCCGTTTCTCTAGGTGGTGACTACTAAGGTAAAACAAAAAGAGTCAAGATTAAGTCAAAAGATGAGCAATCAAGTGTGCCACTTCTAATAGGCATTTGAGCTGTGCTAATGTGGGAGTTCTTTTAATATGTGCACAAATACAGGAACATTACAATCTTCCCACCACCTACTTTGTGCCTGAAAAAAAACCTTGCGCTGTATGCTATTATCAGTTTTAATGATGAGGATTATTTAAATGCAAAGACCTTAACAGTTATATGTCATTTTTATTGATATTCTCCATAGCAGTTTATGACATCTAGAAAACCTGTAATGATAGTATAGTTAAGACAGTAAGTGAAAACAATGACTAAATGTTTAGCTTTAAGCTGAACTTCTAAATCTATTCAGAGCTCTTGCTGATATCACGAGGATTACTAACATAATGACAATCACTAACGTGTATTTAGTTCTCTTGTTCCCACAGGATCATATCCCGCTTTCACTGAAGTGAACAGTAATCTTCCAGTCCACGTCAAGTGGATTGCACCCAATGACTTTTTCTCCCAACTGCACCATGTTTCGTGAGAGGTGGCAGGCGTTGCCAGCTTCTGCTGACTTCAGTACCACTTAAGATTTAGCTCTGTCTAAACAGAGATTTATTCACTACTGCAAAGCTGCCACGTCTTTGTTGAAACACCAGAAACTTGAAAGTGCTTTTGTGGTAGATTATAATTTGCTGGATGAGACTTTAAAGAGTGTCCATGGAAGAATCCATATCTAAAACCAACACTTTGTGGTCTGAATCAACAGACGATTTACAGAACTCCGTGTAGAATTTATGTAACTTGAGAATTATTTATTTTTTTTAAATCACAATACAACAGTTAGCTTGAGAGAGCTTGGGTTTTCAAACATGTTTCTTCGACCACTATGTTATTAATTCAGACAAAATGCTTGCTGAGATTGCTTATTGAGTTATTGTTAATTTTCTTTGGTTTCTTCATGTTGATGTGGCATGAGGTAGACAAGAGTTTGCAGCAAAAATTTACTGTGAAGAGTGACAATTTCCCAGTGTCAAAGTCTGAGCAATTACCATGAGTACATTTTCCTATTGATTGACTAAATCTGCTATCTAAAATGTTATATATTCTTTTAGAGTTACTTGTATTAATCTAAGAATCCAAATGGAATAGCAGTTGAGAGAAATGTCTGCACTATACTGGTATCTTCATCAGCAAGTAGGCAGCAATTTCTAAGCAATTAATATTTTAAATATGTAGTTGTAGTTGAAGGAAATGGTTGGATAGGTCTTGATATAGCTTTTCTTAGGTTTCCATGGGTATTTCTATTGATTTACAAAGAGTTTAATCAAGCCCTTAACATATGGGGTTCAAACAGCAACTGGTTCTCCTGGAAATCCTGATTTGTTTGTGGAGACAGAATTCTCTTTTTCATTAAAGGTACAAAACCAGGCCCTGACACTCCAAGTTTAAAACTGCAGTCCTTACAGGAAGCTACTAGATTTCTAGCTGATGTCTAGCCTGACTGAACCCACTAGACCTGTTAGCTCTCTGCTCTGTAGCTTTTAGTTGAATATGTGCTTCAATGAGACAGTTCACACAGTAAGAGATTGTAAATCAAGGCTCCAGAAAAGCAGATAAGGAACCACACTCATAAAGGTGATGCCTTGTGTTTGGGTATTACAATTTTTTTTTTTTTTTTTTTTTTTTTAAGTAATAGTTGTAAAAATGTGGGAGCTTAGTCTCCATTATCAAAATGTTTTGGAAGATAATCAAATTGCCATATAATAATGATTTTTTTTTTTTATAAATTCAGAGAGAAAGGAACAGGCAACTATACAGACACGTGTAGTTACTGAATCTATCCATGACAGAATTGTCATTGAAATAAATTCACTCAGAAGCCTGATGAACAGTTAGAACAGTTCAGTCCTGTTTATCTTTTCATATAAATTGCAAATACTTTTTAAAATGCTATTTTATTCATTAAAAAGATACCTGAAATTGGATTTATGGATTTATAAACATGAATGCATTTCATACTAGTTAAATTCTATCAGAGCCAATTGCTTCTTTTCCTTCTTCCCATGATTAAATCGATATTTAACTCTGTAATGAAATATTACTTTCTTAGAGGAAATAGTTATGTTATAAACCAATTCAATTGTAGCAGATCATTAGTGCTATTAAGAAGGGTATATTTTCTTTTTTTTCCCTTCAGGCTTGGAAATGTGACAAATTTAAATAAGAAAGCCCTTTCAAAATACACCTTTCTTCTCAAGTTAATGTAGTATTTGTAACCTTCTTCATTTATGAAAGCATTCTAATAATTGTAAAAAGTGATTAACTTATCTGCAAGTTTTGTCTTGGCTTAATTTACAAGAAGGGTATTTTAATCTCTTTTTGACAATAGGCAACAGACACAGATAGTCACAAGTAACAGAATATCACTGGCACGAAGTTTACTTCATAATTTAATCCTAACTGATATGACCAGAAGAAACAAGGAAAATCAATACCTTTTTGTCTCCACTGCTGGTTGTTCCGGCATTTCCTCACTAAGTCCTGAGAGTGTATTCTGTGACATTACTGGCAATATCCATCCTTGTCTCTTGGAAGTACCATCAGACAGATCATCAGCCACAGATAGTAATCTTTAAACAACAATAAAATACCCTGTGAAATTGAATAGCTCTATTTTTGCTCATAATATCTGAGACATGAAAGCAAAAGCAATTCATGCAATAATCTGAACAATTTTTCCCCCTAAAAAGAAATAACTATGATTATTTATTACTCACTTCTCAATAGGTGTAGCTTCCAAACAGCTCAGAGTGACAGAAAGTGCAATGAAGAAAACTGACAGCTTTAGGTTGCACATTTTTGCTTCCAAACTTTCTGAAAAGAGTAATGATTCAAAACTGAAAGCAAATGCAAATACTCTTCAGCATATCCTATTACTGATGCCCATTCTGTCCTAAATCAACAGCAGCTAGTCTTTTTTCACAGGCTAGATTAAAAAAATGATCCCCCTAAGTTTAGTGACACAACACAGTTTCAGACAGATAGCTCTCAATAGTAAATATTCATTTTCCATCATTTTACATCTAATTCCAAATACAGTTTTCCATCTGATAATTTCAATCCTTTCCCTTATCTCTGGTTTGCATTTTTCCAACATGTCCCAGACTCAAATTCTGATCCCAGGTGCAATTTACCTGGAAGTTTTCTTAGCCTTTTCTGATTAATAATGAGAAACATTGTGCTTTCCTTTCTGTTGCACTGCATCTTAACTGAAAAAAAAAAAAAAAAAAAAAAAAAAAGGAAAATTATTTACCTTTCAGTGGTCAGGGAGCTAACAGAAGAAGCACTCCTGTGTTAGCAAGAAGGGTGCATGCAACAATTCCACACTTGCATCTAGCGCTGGAGTATCCTTTTTCCCCCTTCCTTGCTGACAAGCAATACAGCTCTTATATACCCTTCACACCTTTCTCAGCTCTGACATCAGGCAGCACAGAGAGACTGTCATTAATTCCCATCCCTATAGATAGAAAGTACCCCAGAAAGGAGCAGAGGCAGATAGGTCATTATTACATTAGCACATCAGTAAATATTAACCTGGTATATGCAGGATGCCCTTGTGAAGATACTGTAATAGCATATTGCACATCAGAACTGTAGCCTCAATTTTACAGTTCTGATAAGATGCTGAGGTAATATTCCCTGTGGGTGTTTTCAAGGGCTCAATAAGGTAACAAAAGTTCTAAAGAAAGCTGGAGTAAATGAAACAGCAGATCACCAGTAATTGAAATGTAACAAAACAGATATCTTAGAAAAGATAGAATAGTTAAAGTTGTGGAGGTTTGTTGTAGAAGTATATAATGATCAAAACAGAAAGAATATTTGAAAGGATAAAAGCTGTATGAGGAATAAGAGAAGAGTGAAAATTATTAAAATTGACAGATAGGGTGGTCATTCAGGGTAACAAGGTAGGAATCATGTACGTTTTTCAGCAAAGTATAAATATGAATGCAAATTCCGTCATTATTAATGTAAAACCTTATGTTTTACTAACACTGGTAGATTCTTTATGTCATGCATGAAAATTGTGTCAATTAATATTTTTAAGAAGGCAAAGACTAGGATTAAAAAACTACAAAATGCCAGAATAAAGGCTGCCTGTGCAAATTTATTTCTTCTGTGTGTACAGAATATGGTTCAGGGAAAAATACACAGCTTTTAATAGACTAAATCCAGAGTTAATAAATTACCTGGTTGCAGATTTCCAAGGACACAGATTAGAGTTATTTTTTCCCAATTTCAGTGGGCATTGGGCAAATTACTTTTTTTTCTTTTTCTGTCTCATTAGTTGCTTTTAAGTGCCCAAATGCCTTTGGAAAACAAGTCTATCAATTATTTGTGGAGATTAAGATGCTGACACAAAAGCTCAGGCAAAGTTTTCTGTGATAAGAAGTTATCATATGCATCTTCCATATCTCCACAGAACATGAATTAATTCATAACTGCTTCAATGCCAAGTACATTGCCTTAACTGGATGCTTCCATCTTTTCTGGTTTAGTCTGTAACATCAGATTTTCACTGAAATGGCTAAAGTTCCAGTGCTGGCTCTCTTCAGACATCGGTGCTATTTGAGTTGAATACAGAAGGAATGTTTAGCTGGGATGATAGCCTCTTAACCTGATACTACAGTTAGTCTGCCAGTAAGACTTTAGCAAATGACAAAATATTTTTTTGTTTTGTTTTCATGGGTTGTTGCTTCTGGATATTTTGCTCGCTGTTTTTAATGATACGATGTTGTGATTCAACCCCAGCCAGCAGCTAAGCACCACACGGCTGCTTACTCGCTACCCCCTGGTGGGATGGGGGAGAGAATCAGAAGGGTAAAAGTGAGAAAACTTGTGGGTTGAGATAAAGACAGTTTAGTAAGTAAAGCAAAAGCCGCACATGCAAGCAAAGCAAAGCAAGGAATTCATTCACTCCTTCCCATGGGCAGGCAAGTGTTCAGCCATGTCCAGGAAAGCAGGGCTCCATCACACGTAACGGTTACTTGGGAAGACAAGTGCCATCACTCCAAACATTCCCTCTTCCTCCTTCTTCCCTCAGTTTTACATGCTGAGTATGATGTCATACGGTGTGGAATATCCCTTTGGTCAGCTGAGGTCAGCTGTCCCAGCCGTGTCCCCTCCCAGCTTCTTGTGCACCCCCAGCCCACTTGCTGGTGGGGTGGGGAGAGAGGCAGAAAAAGCCTTGACTCTGTGTCAGCACTGCTCAGCAGTAACGAAAACATCCCTGTGTTATCATCAGCACTGTTTTCAGCACAAATCCAAAATGTAGACCCATGAAGAAAATTAACTCTATCTCAGCCAAAACCAGCACATATACTTTGTTTTCTCCAGGTTCCTGTCATCCTCCCCTGGATGGACAGTCCCAGTGTGAGAGAAGTAAGGAGAGTGTTGTTTTGTCTTCACCATGACAATGTGTTCTGTGCAACATCTGAAACAAGTGTATCTCTCCAAAGAGTCTTCTGAGGTTATTTTCACTGTAGTGCTTGACTAAAATGAAATAACATTCTGGTGTTATTTTCACTGTAGCAATTTCATTCTCCTGAAATGAAGGCATGATTAGATCCATTTTACAGAGATAGAATTGTGCTAAAAAAAACAATTATGCAAATAATCTGGCTGGTGATAGACACCAGCCAATATCCACACTTTGAATACTGAACTCAAATGCCTTGGTGCACTTCTTCCAGGGTGGGAAGAGATCCAAGTCATGCTGACACTCAGTAGTGGTGCGTGTTCTCAGCTCTTGTGAAAAGGCAAGCTCATGTTGTTTCAACTCCTGAAAAGCAGCGGATAGATCAGGTGCACTTTGCATCTGAGATGTTAGATTGGATGGGATATTCAGAATCAGTTAAATTGTAAGGCATCTAAGTGAATGGTTGTTTGGTCAAGCTTGAATCAAGTTATAGGTTGATATAAGAAAAGTGAAACAGGCTTTTCAAAGAAATATTGGTCTGAAATCCTAATTCCAGCTGTCCTGCAAGTGGCTTTGGGGAGCCTCTAATGCTTTGAGGGAAGAAGAGAAGGCTGATTCTTGAGAGCATTGTAGAAATGCAACTGGGCTCATGATGTCCCAGGACCGTTGTCTGCTTCCCAACCACATAGCATTTTGACAGGGTCAGCAAGAAGTCTGTCCAGCTATTATTCCAATGTAATGTTAACAAAATTAAGGTACTGTGGCTTCTGTTACAACTTCTCTTAAGCAGAAGTAATGTTTTCCCACACAAACAAGAGTGGAATATGAAACCGTGGAATCTGTCTGACACCAGAAGTATCCATAAGTCAAATTTCAAGATCCTGGCACTAACTACTGTGCAGTTACTCCATTCACTGAAGCAGTTAGAAAACTATCTTTATCACTGACAAAGTTCCTTAATCTTGATCTTAGGAAAAAAAAAACCCCATAATTATTTTGCGTAACAAATATTATCAGCCTAAGGAAGAAATGAAGCATTCTCACTAAAGAAACCTACCACCAATTCTATCCTGAGTAGTTATATGGTAATTTTACATATTTATACTGGAGTTTAAGTCCGTATGAAAAGATTTTTCTGAAGTATGATGCCTATATGAGGGTTAGTGGACACCAAAGCTGAGGTTTACAAAGAATCCAGAAGATATGGTATGCCAATGCCCTCATTCCTTCTGGAAACCACCTACAGAAATGTCTTGAGTTCGAAGATGATGAACATGCGCACTGTAATGTACTGGCAGCAGAGGAACAGGGAACCATTCTCACCTCAAGTGTCTGCTGCTCTTATGTACTGGAGAGTGGGGTTTATCTGACTTAAATGTGAGATGAATAGAGAGAGCATTCTAGTGCCCGTTTCTAATGTAGAAGTCTAAAATAGCTCAGATGATTTGTGCTTGTTCCTCCTTTTTGACTATAAAACCAGCCTTGGGTGACTTGCTCAGGTATAGATATTTACACTGCAGGTATCTAAATGTATGTGAAATTAATTCCATCAGGGGTGCTTTAACTCTCTTATGTGCTCAGTTGTTAACGTTCAAGGTTGTCTCCCTCTTCTTCTCATATTTACCTTTTTCTTAGGCTGTTCTTGACACCTGCTGGACAGCTTTTTCCTGCTTTTAATGGATCCTTTTCAATTTCTCAGTTCTACATTTGCTTAATAACATAAATAACACACATTAAGGCTTTTGGTAATGGATGTGTCTTTCCAAATTGTGAGTGACAAAAAACCATTATTACCTGTTGCATGAACTTTACCAGATGCTGTTCTGCTGTGTAAGGTAAATGTCTCCAGTAAATTACATTGTTGCTCAGTTACCAGGATCCATAAGTGTGTGAATAACTCATGGTTTAGTTTTCCTGTTGTATCAAAACAGAAAAGGAAAAGCTTTAGGCATTAACCTGAAATGAGCATATTTCAATTTTTTGAATAAACCAGAAATAATAACAACAGCAGCATTAATATGCATCAATGTAAATATTACCAGTAATGAAACAGCACGGTGCATGTGTCACTGCTTGTGACTGTTATATGAGTTGAGCAGAATGTTTCATGTGATCTGACAAAGTTGTTTCATTTTTATAACAATTTTATTAGCCTTTTATTCCTGTTAAACAAGTCCAAATCAAACTTTGAAACAAAAGTAAAGTATAAAAAAAAGGTTTCACTGGTAGTTTCAGTACCTCTGAAATATTCTAAGTGCCTTGTGTTCAAATGGACAAATCTGAAATTAGAGGAGTAAATCAGGTGCCTAAACATAGTTTTCTGCTACCATTTTAGATGTCCTAGGATGAATCCGGCTAGCAAGACACTGTTGTAGCAACTG